TTCTCTGCGCAGAAAAGCAGGGCAAGAAGGGTACCAACACCCTAAATCATAAGGGATCTGCCCCCAGAGCATCCACGGGAGGTTACCGCAGTCCCTCAGCATCCTGTCCCCATCGGGAGAAAGGGAAAGGACTCCTCGCCTGCCCCCAAAGCTCCAGGGGCAGCGAGAGATGCTCCTCACCGCCCGGTCCTGCCTCTCCCCGGCCTCAGCCCTAGCCTCTCGGCCGCTTTTACAGTAGTCGCTATCAAATGTCAATTATTGGGAGTGAGAAACAACAAACAATGTAATTCAGCGCAGTCACAACATCCTCTGAGTGTCTGAGATTGCCCGGCCCGGTGACAAGGCGATTAGGAGAAGCTGCAATCCCTCCTGCCTTGGCCATATCGGCCCCATCAGTAAACAGGGATGGAGACAGGGTGGCTGTGGCCCTGGGACATGGGATGAAAGGCTGTCGGTGAATGGAAACTGCCTGCAGCCTCTATCCCTCCCTTCCAAAGGGACCAACCTCACACACCCCCCGGGGTAGGATTGCATAGATAAGGAGCTCTGACCTCCTCCTTCCTATCTCTGCAAATGGAAGAAGAGCCCTGGGTGCTGCTCACAAAGCTTCTAATGCAGCACGGAGCAGAGACACCTGTCTGGGGCTCAGGGCTGGGCAAAGGCTGGTCCTTCTGCCACCTCCCAGGGTGAATCTGCCTGGGGGTATTTATCCCTGAGAACCAGAGGGACATTGGGTCTGTGACAACAAAGGGGACCAGAGTCCGCCAGCCTGGGACACAGAGCTGCCCCACAGCTGTGCAGTCTGAGGATAGGCAAAAGCTACTTCTCATCTGATACCTCTCCTGTCCTACTATCACGGTCTGTATGATGACTTTTGCCATCTTCCCACACTGGAAGGACACATAGGCTTCAGCAGATGGTACAGAGGCAGGTTAGCCAGAAAATACACTGCTCTAAAAGAGACAGAAAGAATGTCTACCTTCCTGGGAGCTCCAGGCAAGGAGCATTAGAGGAAGCCGGAGAAAACTGGGTTTAAGCATTGCTGCTGATGGATGCTGTGATGGAGAGTCAGTTTGGTGCCTCAGTTTGCCTGATCTGTGAAATGGGCACAATGCTGCCATCCCTCCACACACCTGACAGCTGATCCTGCCACTGCAGAGCTTGGGCAGGATCAGAGCACACAGGGAGTCCTCAGAAGATGGAACAAGTCCTGAGTTAACATGGGGGAAGGCATTAAGATTAGCTAAAGCTTGAGCCCCTGCAGAAGTTGGCTCTGAGTAGGGCCCTTCATTAAGTGGACAACAAAGACAGACTGCACTGCGACTCCAGGAAAAGCCACAGGGAAAAATAACTCCCCACAGCAACACAGCACCATTCTCCACATACTCCCAAAGCCCTTTCCCTTCCTCAGACCCCTTATTTCCTTCAAACCCATTCATTTCCCTCCTGTAATACCCCAGAGCTACAGCAATCAGGGAATCTGACTGTCAGAGGGATTTTCCCTGCTGCTGCTGCTCTGCAGTGGCTGTTGTGGGCACCAGCTCCGGGTCTGATTTCCAGGACTGCACTGTGCTCATTCTCAATAGGGATGAACGTACAGCTCCTGCTCTCACATTCCCCTCCTCCCCACGCTTCCCTGTCCCTGGGGGAATTGCATCACGAGCAGATGCATGGCAGGATAAGACAGGGCTTGGAACAGCAGCCAGAGCCTTGGAGCCAGTTCAAAAAGTGCTTTAGGCAGAGGACACAAGCACAGCTGGCTGGGGCTGAGGTAGCGCAGCTCTGGCAGGGGCACCAGCAGCCAGGGGTACAGACCTTCCGTTAGCTGGATGAATGAAAGGGCAAGAGAGAGACAGTAGGAATTAATCCCCAGCACACCGATTTTGGCCAAGGGGAGCTCACTGTCTTCATTGGTGCTAGTCCTGCTCTCCAGGTCTGTCTCACCTCTGGCTGTAGCTTCGCAGCAAGAAGAGTCGTCAGGGTCAGGTGGGGGTAAAAGGTCTCCCCAGGACTTCCAAAGTCACACAGCACAGCACAGTCATGAGCTCTTCTGAGTCCAGTCCTCTCAAAGGCTTAGCAAAACTGAATGTATCAAACCTGACATGTTTCCCTGCCTGAACGTGAAGTGTTTCATATCTCTAGAGCAACATGAAAATCCTGTGCTTAGAAAAGCTTATTCCAGAGGAAAGTGCAGGATATTGGCATTTCTCCAGGGAACCTGAAATCAGAGATCCTCTCAGTGTTTGGGACAATGCTAAGGAGTGTAGGAAAGAGCTGTTAATAAGATTTGCACTTGGATTTGCTCTCAGATTTTGGGGGAACTGTGCAGCCTGGGACTGGCATTCATTTCTCTGCTGCAGAGAACTCTGTGCCCCAACTCCACCTGAAGGTATCAGAGCAAGTGCAGCTCAGTACCACTTGTCTTCTTGAGACAAACTGCATATGGTAGGTTTATACAAACTGCTTGGAATTCACACAATTTGTACAGGAACAAGTTGTCAGCTGTAAGGGACTGATACCAAATCCCTTGCCTTTAGCAGTGCTGTAGGAACGAAGGAAGCATTTTTCCTAAATTACACCCATGCAGTTCCTAAAATGAATTTTATTCCCTAAACTCAAGGAGTTTTCACATAGAAATTTATTCTCTGGAGTCAGAAAATGTGGAGATACAGTCCTGGCAGGAATTAGCTAAAGGTTTCAACGTTCCTAAGAAGTCCAGCAGGAAAACAACAGATCAACAAGCCTCTCTCCTGCTCCCAATTCATCTCACTGACACCAGCTGAGATCAGTATCAGCAGTAAGAGATTTCTCGTTAATGGGGATTATTAAGAAGAATCAACACCTTTAAAATGCCACTCCACATTGTCTCCAAAGCCAGAATGGGCTGAGTTTTCAGGCTGGAGTCGGATTTTTCGTTCCTGGGTGGTTAGTTATTGCTAGGACGTGAACTGAATGCTGTTTTGAGGCAGAAGGAGAGGGAAGAAGAGATTTTTCCCAGCAGATCAAGTCCTGGCAATACATCCATGAGAGCTCATCAGTCAAGGTTTATGGAAGTTAATCAATCAAGGTTTGGCAAAGTGACATGGGATATATTACCTGAAAATCTCTACCTGTCTCCTGCAGTCATTTTAAGCCCTGACATCCAGAGTTTCAGGCAGCAACAGAGCCCCACTTAGTGACAAGATCATCCTCTGAGAGGTCCATCAGCCACAGGCTTTTCCTAACCTCTCCCTAGTTCACTCCCACCCCCACTAGCTTTTTCCTTTCTCTAAACAGCTTAATGATTTAGTACAAACTCCAATCCAGCCTCGACAGAGATCTCATCCTTACTGTTTCCTCCACTTCATGGGTGCACTGATCCACACAGGTTTTTCCTTCTAGGTACCAACATGAGATCTTTAAGCATCTCAAACCTTCCTCTTGTCCCTTCCCACTGCAATCCTCAGAGAGCACAGGGCAAAACCACCATCTGAACTAGATCACTGCTGCTGCTTCTTGCTGCAGTGAAGGTTGTACTGATGAGCCTTTTAGACCAGTTTTAGAGCATCTCTACCAGTTCTATTGCACTGCAAAAAGACTTGTCCCTGGTGTTTGTAGTGGCTGCTAGAGCTGCTGGACTGGCAGAGATGGGTAAAAATAGGTGAGTTTTCCTGTCTTTGGATAAAAGAGTTACTGGAACTTCAAATCACATACAAGTCATGTCAATGGAGTCTGCATGAAAACACTAAGAAAATAATCTGTTTCTCACAAACTGAGCAAGAGGAAAAGCCAACAGAAGCTCAGGGAGAGAGATGAACATACAGGAGAGCAAAACAGAGCATTTTTAAACCAGCTCTGTGGGTGAGCACTTGGTGCACTGACTCCACTGAGACTGGGACATGTCTGCTAAGTCAACCCTGCTTAGAATAACAGGTTTTGGTGTCTACAAAGAATCCTGGTCAAACGGCTGAACCACATATCTCTAAGTCAGAAGATTGGGCACTTTTCCCAGTTCCATGAGAGAGGGACATCATGTTTGCAAGAGCCCCTGAGTCCTGCCCAGCTGTGAGCAGGAGCTGTGTGAGTGCAGGGACTTGCAGGGATCACTCAATACCTGCTCAGTTTGGTGTGCTGGAAAAAGAAGTTGTCCAAAAGCAAAGCTTGTAAATGGGAAGAATCTCTTAGTGGCCAAAATAAACGTATTTCTTAATGCTGGTTAAAATTAATTGATCCTGGGGAGACATCCTGGAGCTAAATTACTGTCTGTGGGGATGGGAAGGCTGAAGGCATGAATGACACTACTGTACAGTGAGCAAGGTCAGGAGTTAACAGGCTCAAATAGGGCCCAAAAAGCAAATTTGTCAAGGATCTCAAATGCTGTGAACTGCTCTAACTACTACTGAGTAAGAAACAGAGCAAACACAATTTAGAAAGGCATATTAGAGTTTTAGTCCTAGAACCAACAAATCCTGTGGCTGAACAAATGATTAACTCCCACAGTTAAAAAACACCTCCTCTCACAAACATTTTCTGGCTGTTTTGCATATTTGGACTGGGATTTGGTGCTCTCTGCTGCTGCAAGAACAACCCCAGAGTTTATTTTAGCACAGCAGACATTTCCTAAATAGATTGCATTGTCCTCCAGCATAAGCTTTGAATACCTCACAGTGCTGGCTCCTAGAAACTGCCCCCAAATCCCAAATCTGCCTGGCCAGGATGTGTTTGTGCTTCTTACTGTGTGTGAAGAAGCAGAGCTGCTTTCAGAGCAGTGGCTGCAGCGAATGGAGGAGC